ACCTGAATAGAATTAAACATCTAAAAAAAAGCTTTGAATTAAGTTTTAATTATTTCCATGACATATAGGATTTAGAGCTGGGCGATTAGTGTTATTTGCTAATCGATTAATCGACGGGTTCATTTATCGATTAGTACACCACGTTCTCTATTATCCATACAAGCAATAAAAAATAAAAATATGCTACCGTCTTAACTTTTCTCAAACGTTTTATGAACATTTCCTACATGATGGATCAATCAACTAAACAGCATAACATGATCGGAATTGTTTGTTCTTCAACTAAACAGCATAACATGATCGGAATTGTTTGTTCTTCAACAATACAGTAATCTCACACTGATCTTCTCTTGTTTGTTATTCAACAATTCAGTAATCTTACACTGATCTTCTCTTGTTTGTTTACAACAATGCAGTAATCTCACACTGATCTTGTTGTTTTTTCAACAATGCAGTAATCCCACACTGTTCTTCTGTTGTTTGTTTTCAACAATGCAGTAATCTCACAATGATCTTCTATTGTTTATTTTAGAACAAAGCCATAATGGGTTATCTGATGTGCCCACATCGGGGAATCGAACCCAGGATTTCAGCATTGTAAGTCCGTAAACTTACCGCTGTCCCATGGAATCACTCCCATCTTCTATGAGTGAATTATTTGGTAAATAAATAATGGAAACATGTTTTGCTCTCACGATAAAGGTAATAATGTCTTTATTTAATACATACCACGATTATAATTAAATTAATTACGTAGCCATTTAGACTATTTATGTACGTTGTTTGAATGGGATAAACGATCTTCAATAAAGATTTGAGTCAGAATGCAATCACCATAAACAGTGAACTTATCTGATTTCATCACAATTATATTTAATTTGGTAAAAATCATGTTTACATATACTGCAACTACACAAAATCGTGGTATACCTATTAAACAATAAAAACGCCGTATTTAAACAACCAATCATCAACAAAATATCTTTATCAAGCCTTGGGCAATCTACAGTCACATGACTTCTTTGTTACGTATATTCTTGGTATAAGTAAACTACTTGAACCTTATGATGATAAAACCTCCCAACACTGTACATTTGTTACTGTGTTGAATTTTAATAGAATTGTCTTTGTTACCCATTAAACCCATCTTTAACACTGTATAAGTCTATCTACTTTATCTCAAGTGATCTGATGTCTTCTCATTTAAGACAATATCTGTAGTTTTCAAACACATATAATTTAACACAAAATACTCTCATAATTCACAACAAATAGAGCATTTATAAAAACTATAAAAGAATCTCTTAAGCTTATCTATTACTACGCGATAGTCTAATTCTTGCTCTATTCAATCATATCTAAACTTCCATTATAGATGTTTTTAAGCTTTATTATTAAAAAGTGATCAAACCACTTGATGTCGCAACATAAGGTTTCAATAAAGTCTCTACAAAAACTGGGGAAACGCTTGAAAATCAAGAAATGGATAAAGGGTGATAGATTCTTATCAGAATTAGTTATTGTTAGTTTTAAAAACCACTGGTCCTTAAACAACTGATTTCTTCATGGGTATGAAGGGTGAGGGGTCACTTCTGTGCTTTAGTGAGTAGTAAGTTGGGTTAAATAAGTAGCAAGGATCAGTGGCAAGTCAAGAAAAGTTGTAATGAGTCGAAAAACGTGATTATCGAGTTAGTATTATTGTTTTGTTATCATATACCAAGATGTCAACAGAACAGAAGACATTTCTAACTCTTCTGTCGGGTATTTCTTCGATTCTGTACAGTAACTGTAATGTCATCCATCACATCTCTTGTGTTATGCCTGTTGGTCTTCATCTCAGTACAAACTGTGGCTATATCTATCCAATGGTTACACTAGATTAATCTTGCTTGGATGTGTTCACAATACTTACTCCCTTTATTCCGACAATGCTCGAAACGTTGACAATGGAACCTTTACTTTCAATCAGGTGAGGAACAGCTAGCATCGTCAAATGATAGACAGAACTTGGAAAACATAAAATAAAACAATTGAGAACATCTTTAAAAATGAACAATTATAGCAATAGATGACGCCACTAAAAAACTGTGCGCGGAATTAAATTATAAATTTTGGCAAAAAATACAAAAATAGAGTTGGATCCTTATACCTACAGAACATTGTCACTGGCTTCTGCTAAATAATTGTTCATACTTTATTTGTTATATCTCATTTATTAATTCTATATTTTATTTGAGGGCGATTTAACGAGAAATAAAAAAACAAAAGTTATTTTTAGATATATATATATATTATTCGTTTACAGTCCTTTTCTTATTTGTCTACCATATGTTTAAAGTGTTTTTCTTATTTATCTTTACTATTACTATATGTAAACTTACTTACCGAACATTGGTTTTCCACACTAAATCTAGTGTTTCCAAAGAACCATTTTGAGCAGAGTCCTCTATTAATACACCAGCATTGTTAACCTGAAGATAAACAACGTTTTTAATGTACCTGCTTTCCTCTGACATTACTTTTAAGTTGTCATTTTCGAATTCGAAATAGGAGGCGTGTAAAAATATTGTTTGTATTACAAATGTTAAGTCATTTTTATTTCTAATGCATCTCCAGCTGTTGGCGTATAAATTGTAATTCTTAATGTTGACTGAGTTTGTTACCAAGCCACACTCGTTATGACGATCTCTTCACGTGAGAGAGCCCCCCCCCCATCCGTTTCTTACATCTCGTGAGTACAGAGGAATATTTTAGATGTGAAATACATATATCTTAAACTGATGTCCTTGCCCCTGCCAATTATCACGATCTACAACTATCTTGTTTGAAACCACTGACCCTCTTTTTTTAGTACTCTAGACTCATCTTACGCTAGCGGTTGACAGACATTGGTAAGTATATTAAATGAAAAACGATCATAGGTTTTGAATTTCTCTGTACAACAATTTACGTCTATCCCTTCCTCTTCATTAGTAATTTTAGTTAGTGAGGGACGAGTTATTTCCATTCTGTATTATATATTCATTTAATAATTTAAGTTAGTGAGGGACGTGTTCTTCCCTTTTCTGATCAATTTTTACAAAAATAAAACTTGCCGTCCTTTTTCTTCTGTTTTATATCGACTTAATAAATTCCATATATAATATAAGTTATTTTACACTATATATACCCCCCAGATGTACTGACAGTAAACATGATTGCTTATAATATAAAATCCTCGGGGTGGGCTCATGTTGTATAGCCCATTCAGTAGCTTTACGTTAAATTGACTTTTTTTCTCTCTTTTTATATAACATCCCTTTTTTTTGTTTGTTTTTAAGAATTTCTTCTGATGGTGAGGAATATTTTATTTGATGACTGATGTGGGTGTTTATTAAGATTGTTTGATATCAAGTTGTTTAATAAGACAGGGAGGATTGAATTTATGGGACGCGGTTCCTCTCTGCCCCATGAAGAAAACTGTATAATAAGACATCAAAAAGACGATGACCATCAACTGAGTAGAAATGTTTTATTTAAAAATGGTTCAAGTCTCGCTCCTTTACTGGGAGATTAGGTGTTTGGTTGGGCCCTCAAACTCTAGGCTTTAAATAGAACAGTGGTTAATGTACTTTAATGGACTTTGTAGGAATATGAGTTCTGAGAAAACATAAAGAAAAATATACAATACAAAAATAGTAATATATGTTCCAGACGGTTCTGCTATGATTAGTGTCTGGCGAAAAGCTTCAGCAGATATTTCTTTTGCAACATCTCAGCCAACAATTGGTCCAGTTATCAACGCTATTTTCAAGTTTTGAACAACTCGACTTTCAAGATCTACGTATCTACGTGTGCCGATGTTTCCGTTTATCAACGTTAGATTTTAAGATCTGTGCAAGAACTCAGCCAACAGATGTTTCCGTATATCGAAGCTATCTTCAAGTAATATATTAGTATAGACAAAATGTAACAAATTATTTTATTTTGATAAACAACAAGCTCACCAGAATATCCAGTCTTCCATAGGTCTCAATTGTTGACATCATAATTCGCTCAATATCGGATTCTATGGTTAAATCACCGATAATACACAAAGGCTGAAACAATAAAAATGTTAGCTTTTAAATTTGTTTTAAAATATATTAAAAATACTAAGTCATGAGCATCACAGTAAATCTGTTTAGAAAAATATTATAATTTGTTATATTGTTTCAAAACTTTCAATTCTCCTCCGTGGTTCATCAGTAATCTAGTGCGCTCGTAATACACTAATCCAGGGTTCGATACCTGCGGTTGGTATAAAGGTAGCTCGTCACGTGACTGAGATTTCTTTTAAGACACTAACTTTAACCCTCGGTGGGATAGCGGTATGCCTACAGACCTACAACTCTAAAATCCGGGGTCTGATTTCCCGCATCGAACACGAAAAAATAGCCCAACGTGGCTTTACTCTAAAAACAAACAAACAATGCCTTTAACAAATGTCATAGAGATGCCAGAGAAATATTATGTGAACGAGATAAATTAATGAAAGTAAATATAACATGGGACAAAGCTGTTTCGTAAAAAATCATGTTTCTTCTACACAATCATTGTATAGTTAAGGTATTATTTAACGAAACAGAAAGACACATCATAGACATTGGATTTATTAGCACTCGGTGAATGAATATCTCTGCATCAGCCATGACACACCATATATGGTAATGGTAACGAAACTTCTTTTGAGCATGTGCAAACCTGCTTATCTTGCAAACATCCTAACAACATCAACATAACTCACAAATTGTTCGCACAGAAAAACATCCGCTACTCTTCTATGTTTAAAATTATAACTTAAAACAAAGATAAAACATGATATATTTAAGTGTTTTACGCTCACAAAAAAAAACCTATCATTCTATAGGTATTTGAAGAACAATTTAATTCTTAGTATTTTTAGCCAACACTGGGCAGCTGATACATAATTCAAAGATAAAACATGTTCTTGAGTTGTTAGCCTTACTACGACGTATTTTGTTGGTAGTATGAAGAACCGAAAAACGTATAATTTAGAATTTTCTTAGTTAGTTAAGACAAAAAAACTGAAATTGGTAAAAACATTTCAAATTGATTTAAGAGTTTTTTGAATCCCACTTTAGAACTTTCATTAACGCTAGTGTGGGTCTGTTTGTGTGTTTGTAAAAATAATATTTCGGGTTTGAAGCTAATTATAAAGGATTTGTTTATTTCATTTTCCCCAGTGTCACTTAAAGGTCAAACTAAGTTAAACTTAAGACTGCCTTGCTCATTAATTTC